TGAAAGGGATTAGAACGAAAGAAAACTTATATAGTTCCTCTCCCTAGATAACAAATGATATTTACACAAACATATATGGCAGGATAGCTATTTCATTTAAATTATTAAGTAAGAATATTGCAAGATTTAGTTTAAACATAAACAATGAAAAAAAAAAAGAAAAAGAAATTAGGAATGCAACTTAATAAGACAATTTTCAGATGAGTACTAAGCAAAAGAAAACAGACAAAAATAAGTATTTTTTTATTTAGACTGGCACTTAAAGCAAATTTAGCAAATGTCTAGAAATTAACTATTTTAAGCTAACCAGAAAAATATTATGTGTATATTAAATATATATCAAAAGAAGACAAAAAATATTGGAAAGACCAGACTAACGAACAGAGGTCAAATTGGAGATATTGCAGTATATTAAATGTTGGTAGTATAAAATACATCTAGTGGAAACGTCCGCTGCTATTTATAAATTCAAATACTGCATCTAATATCCATGTGTTTGTTTGATAATCATTTGACGGATCTCCATATAGAAGGGTTCGAAGATCAATGGAACATATTGGAGTCAAAGTTTGAAAAAGTGCATTTCTTATTTGTGTATAATTCTTGCAAGTAAAGAAGAAGTGGTGGTTGTCTTCAATTAGGCCACAACTACATAAAGGAGATGATACTATATTTTTTAAGAACAAGTGGTGATTAAGAGAGCTGCATTTCGTTCTAAGTCTGGTATGAAGAATTTGTGACCGTCTATCTCCATAATAGAAGTGTCGGGGAGTTTTAGTTTTGTCTTCGTTCAAAGAGCTTTTGAAAGAATTCAATGACTGTAGCTGACGGGTTTCAATCGGTAAGGAATTCCATTCACGAAGTGCCGTTGGTAGAAAGGAGTTATAGTATAGAGTTGTTCTTGTACGAATTGTATCGATATTTTGAGAATTACGTAAGTTATATGTAGTATTCAGGCCAACAAGATCTGGTACAATAGACGATAGATAGGATGGAGTGAGACAATTTTTCATTTTGTAAAGTTGAATAAGCTTATGCTTCCTTCTTCTGTCAGAAAGTGATTCCCAATTTACATCATTGTATAAATCAGCTAACGATATCAGCTTTGTTGCACCCGTCACAATACGTGCTGCTTCATTTTGAATTTTGTCTAATTCTTGTTTTTCGTAGGATGTACAATTGTCCCATATTATATCAGCATATTCAATAATAGGACGAATGAAGGATGTATATATGATTTCTAGAGACTTTCGGTCTAGTTTGAATTTAAGTTTACGCATTATGTTTATTCTATTCCATGCCTTTTCTTTTATATAATTGATATGGGAATGCCAAGAGCAATCATCAGAAAAAAACACTCCTAGATGTTTGTGATCAGAAACTTGAGGGATTTGTTGGCCATACATGGAGAAAGGTGTGTGATGTGGTTTATTAATTCTTCTTGATATAATCATTGACTCGGATTTAGATGGATTAAAGTTAACTAGCCATTTATCAGCCCAAAGACAAATCTTTTGTATGTCATTCTGCATTGTATCATGTGTTTCAGAAGGTGTTTCAACTATCAGATGGAGACTAGTGTCATCTGCAAAAAGATTGATGTTGGAACCAATATCTTGAACAATATCGTTGATATAAACAAGAAATAGAAGAGGCCCAAGTATTGATCCTTGGGGGACTCCAGATGCAATTGTAACACAGTCCGACATGGTACCAGGAAGAACAACTTGTTGTCTACGATTTGTTAAGTAATCAGAAAGCCATTGGTGTACATTTCCACGAATTCCAGATTCATGAAGTTTCACTAACAAACCTTGGTGCCAAACTTTATCAAATGCTTTACTAATATCAAAAAATACGACCCTCACCTCCAGGCCATCATCTAAAGCCTTGCAAAAATTATTGTAAAGATACGCAAGTTGGTTTACAGTTGAGTCACCTGGCAAGAATCCCGACTGAGATGGAGTGAAGAATGAAATGTCTCTGTAAAAGTTAAAGATATGTTTAAAGACTACTCGTTCAAATACTTTTTCAATAGTGTTGAGTAAAGATATAGGTCTATAATTGTTTACAACAGCAGGATCGCCTTTCTTATATACAGCACAGACATTTGACAACTTCCAGGATGTCGGCATTTTCTTGGATCGTAGTGAGAAGTTAAAGAGCTGGTGAAAGGGATGAGAAAGTTGTTGGTAGGCCTCATATAAAACTCGATAACTGATAGTGTCAGGTCCAGATGCTTTATCGGTTTTTAAAGATTTCAGTACATCCTCAATTTCAGAAGGAGATATATAAATCGTTTCCAAGGTCTGTTGATTGTCTATGTCTGAGGGTCTGGGGGGATCCCTGTTAGAGTCGTCAACCATTGTCTGGTTCTTGAAAAAAGTGTTTAGTAGATTAGCCTTTTCAGGTTCTTCAGATACAATGGAATTAGTAATTGGATCAATAAGAGAAGGAATACCTTTTTTTGTTGAATATGATATAAAGGATTTGAGGATTTTCCACCAATCTTTTGATGATATGGAAGTTGATTTAAGATTGTCAGACAATGAAAGAAAGTAACGAGATTTGCTGTCTTTGACTAGCTGAACTGCTTCATTTCTGAGTTTCCGAAATTTTAACCAATGATGTTGACTTTGAGAAATTTTTGCTTTTCTGTAGGCGCGCTTACGTTGTCTTATTTTTGTTTTTATTTGATTGTTCATCCACGGAGGGTCATTAGGCTTGATTTTTACATTTTTGTTTGGAATACAAAGTTTTGATATGTTTATGATAGTGTTTGTAATATTCTCAACAAAGGTGTCAATATCATCATCTTGAAGTTCGTCCCAGTTAACTAGATTCATCTTGCTACGCAGCAAGTCATAGTTGCCTTTCTCATAGAGCCACACAGTTCTATCAAAAGACTTAGCTTTGGGTTTTATGTAGGTAAAAACAGCAAAGATTGGGCAGTGATACCTGACATGTTGCTGCAGAAACGGATCACCAACCCCAGCCTTTATAACATTGTCTATGTTGTTAGTAAAGAACAGGTCAATTAGTGACGAAGAATTTTCTGTAAAGTGTGTGTGTTCATCAATGATTTGGGTAAGTCCATATTGTTGACATAGTGCTTGTACTTTTCGGGAAGAAGTCTGAGAGTCAATGTTCAAATTGAAATCACCTGTTAATATCACATCTGAAATGCCAGTATCTATGGCTAGTCCCAATGAATCTTCAATAAGAGAATAATAAATATTATCGGAACTAGGGGGCCGATAGAAAACGCCAAACAAAACTTTCTTAGCGCTAGACAATCTGAGTTCGAGCCATATGCATTCTAGATGATTTAGCTCAAGGTCGGTTCTACGTACATATGTGATAGATTCTTTGACATAAATCAGAACCCCACCATGATTATCGTTGGTGCGATCTTTTCTAATTGGTTCATGGAATCCAGGAAACAAGAGATCCACTGTAGACACTGAGTCACCTAGCCATGTTTCGGTGAAAGCAAGAATATCGAGATTACTTAATTCAGCATAAAGGATGTCAAGCTTAGGAAATATGCTTTGGACATTATAGTGAACAACTGTAAGATATTTTGAACATTTAAAAAAATCATGGAGAGTGTTATCAAGAAAAGATTCTGATGAGACTGAGCTCGAGAAAGATTGAGAATGATCTGGTCCCGGATTTGGATGAATATCTCCACACATTGTTAATAAAACATGAAGCCATAAAGTGGTAGTCGTGAAGACGATGACGAGAATACAGCTTTGAGTAAATTCCAAGTTCTCCGAGTACTTTTTATTTGGAAAAACCTTAACTTTTTTATTTTGTATGTTATGTGATACATTTATTGACAACATTATATATTTATATATTGAATATAACTGTAGAGAATTGAGATAAATGGATATTAGAATAATTGCATGAAGGAAGACAAAATATCTTCTGTTACAGTTACAGACATACATGACGGCACTTAGTCTATGTTTTTTCATTTATGTAAACGTCCTGTTTCCATACAGTACATCATTTTATTTCTGTATTACAAAAAGATGTTTAACTAAAATTTAACTAACCGTTATAAAATGACCCTAATTTGATCAAAATATAACGATTGATTATTTCTCAACGACTTTTTGATCAAAATTTAATGTTGAATAGTGGGCAGGGCTAATTCTCAACGTCGAAAAATGGCCCCAGTTCAGTTACAATTCTGCCAAGGAAGGTTATCTCTGTGAAACCAGGTATTACCTCCCTTAGATTGACACTCTTGTACAATACTGTACGAGGGGTTTGCCTAAAATACGAAAGTGAGATTTTTGACGAAAGTGAGCGAAAGTGAGCGAAAGTGACTTTTAGAATTTGAATTGTACTGTTTTAATAGAATTTTACAGTAAAATTGCTGTTTGCATACGTATATTATTAGCAACTTATTATATGTATTATAATAAATAACCATAATCATGATTTAATCGCCATTTAATAAATAATTTGATATTCAACACTATATTTCAATTAAACACTATATTTTAGAAGTCACTTTCGTATTTTCTATGTGAGCGAGAGGAAGATTGCTGAACTTGTATATAGAAATTATGTCAAATAAATGGTGATTAAAGATCATAATGATTATTTTTTTTACTAAAAATTATAGATTTCTGATAATATACGTCTGCAAACTGCAATTTTAGTATAAATTTCAATTCCATATTTAATAATTTACAAGTCACTTTCGTATTTTTCAAAGTGAGCGAAAGGAAGATCTAAGAACTTGTGTATAGAAATTATGCAAATAAATGGCATTTAAATCATCATAGACTATATTAGTGATTATTTTTGAAAAGAATTATTATTAGTTGCTAATAATATACGTCCACAAACAGAAAATTCACTGTGAAATTCTATTAAAACGGTACAATTCAAATTTTAAAAGTCACTTTCGCTCACTTTCGCTCACTTTCGTCAAAAATCTCACTTTCGTATTTTAGGCATACCGCTGTACGAGAAGTACGGGAAATAGTCATTTCTGTAAGAAAACATAAACGTGAAAATCGTGAAAAAAAAAAAAGAAATTTTATTTTTTTGCATTTAATTTGATTTAAATGTCATTTATAGTGAACAGTAAAAGGGCATCGAATACCTATCATGGTCCCCATGGTTTTCTCCTACAGTTGGTACACAGATTTTAACTTGTCACGTATGTCCTAATTTTCATCTCGTGCTAAATTTTGACTTTCTAGTTAAAAAAGCCTAGTTTACACTTGACAGTGACAGATCGGTCAAAGTCTATGTTGGAGCAAGGCATCACTTACCAGTCACTTAAAGTAACCAGTTAAACGGAAAACTTTCAAAAACAGGTAGGTCGAGACTTTTAAAAGTTGTTAAAACACCTTTAAATTTCTTCTACAATTTAATCATCTTAATTAAAAATAATTTTGTTTTTGCTGTACATGTATCATTGTAAGAATTATAGGACAATTTTCTAAGGTAGTTTTTTTAAACCTGAAAAATCCTTCGGCACTGACAACAGTACATTTTGAATCTCAGACAGCAGGGCCTCTTCTAGTCCAATATATTAGACGTTACAGGCTTGTTATAGTTTTTGTTGCTTTGCCCAGAAGCAAAAATATCTCAAAGCGACGTCATATTTATAGGACTAGGCCTCTTCAATCATTTGGTAGACTAAATATATAGACCAATCACATGGTACAGCAACTTCGGGTAATGTCGACACTGGTGTAATTTCGACACCTACTTCCATTTTCCTATTATATTAACCAATAAAGCACCATTTTCTACATGATTTAAATCAATTTTACGATGTCAGAACTATATATGATGTCATCACTTGCTCTTGGTCTTTTAGGCATTTTCCTTTTCTAGAATTTTCCGGTCTGGATGTCATTGCTCATAATCTTATCCGAAAAAACGCCATTTACAGAATCTTATAGGAAGGGTCGATAACTCAGGCACATAACTTTATCATCATTTCGTATTTTTGTATTTGTTTCGATGCAAATAAACCTTAAATATGAATGTTATGAACATGTAACCTTGAGTTTATTCTCAATTATAAGACGCATAACAATTGTACAGGGGTGTCGGAATTGAACGATACTTATCTTCTCTGTCGGCAAATTTCGACACATACAAATATTAAAACTTTAAATTCACAAAAGAATCTAGTTACTAGCTCTAAATTCATTAATAAATAATTCAAATATGTTAATTAAAAAAACCCCAAAAAAAACATACATTATGTTATTTTAATTTCAAGGTGCCAAACTGCAGAATGCTATTCACAATTTTCATAATTTCCGACGCTGTAATGACATTACAAACTTTACTTCAACAAAATTTAATGTGCATTAATTGTAATTAACATAAAGATTTAGCATCACCAGACCTTCATAAGTCTTTTGATCAGTTGCTGTCTATTCAGACTTTGCAGTCTGCTAACCCTGTATTTTTTTCTGGTTAGACATCATTCTGTACACTGTCATAAACACTGAGTCATCTGCTCGTCCTATGCCGTTTCCTTATGATCCTGTCTCGTCTACTCACAAAGAACTACCGACTACTGTCATGAGCATTAAATCTTCTGCTCACCCTACGTCGTCTGATAGTCCAGTGTCACTCCTCTTTTGTCTTTGGACAAATGATGAAGATGGTGACACTGACAAATGGATTAAATGGTTAGCACCACAGCAAGATTGTTAGAAGTGGCTAATACCTATAATTTAAACACTACAAATGTAACTTAATAAGATATTGTCCACATGCCATATAAATTGTAAAATATTTAAAGTTGCTGTTTAAAATTCTTGTGATCAAAACACTCCAGTAGACAGTTAAAAATTATGAATAGGAATGGTTGCCAGGTACAATGTAGTTCAGGCATTTGCCTCACAACCAAGGGATCAAGGGTTTTAACTCTACCGGGATCATAAGCATATATCTGTCAGTACTCACAGTATATAACTCTCCACTAATAGGGAGAAAATATGTAAGGGGATGGGCAGCTCAGCTGGTACAGTTGTGGTATGGAACATGTATTCTCACTATTTCTGAGGATCCTGGTTTGGAGTCCCAGTTAGACTGCACATTCTCTCACCCTGTGATTATTAATAGAGATAAGATGATGTATGTTGGTAATACTTGTGTTTTTTTACTTCAAGGTTGATTTTTTTTTCAGAAAAATTCTGCTTGCTGAACAATGGAATCTAAGTTTAGTCACCTGCCAGACATTAAAACTATCCAGCCTGATAGGCTGATCAAGTATCGGGTCAGTGAGGACAAGTTCTCAGCAGAAGTTTTACTGCCAGGATTGTCATATACAGATTTTGATCAGAAAATTGGAGGTAATATTTACTTTTGCAAGCCATTTTAAATTTCTTCAAAGTAAAGGTCAATGGTGGTTTACTGGTATTTGAAAATTTAGTCCAACTTCCTCAAATAAAGAATATCATGAAGTTCAGTATTAAATCACAAATTATTCAGAAAAATGAAATTATTTTACAGTGATGGTTGTCATTTATTTTCTCCTTACCTTTAAACAAGCATTTTCACAGATGCATTATGGGTATAAATTGTTCCCCTTTTTTGTTGGTATTTAAGATAAGCTAATATTAAAAGAGCACTTAGCAATTTAATAAGGTTATGTTTCTCAGGTGTTTTCAAAGAATGTTCTCAATAACCAGAGGCCCACCTGAAGTAAGATGTCGGGTATTACTGTTTTAAGACAGTCCAAATCACCAAAGGAGTTTCACAGAAGCATGAAACACATTTTTATTAGATTTTCAAGGCTTTTATACTGAGTATCAAATGAATTTAGTTTCAGAGCAACTGCTGAATATTCTAGTTGATATATCTTTTTACAATAATTGGAATTAAAACCAGCCATTTCTTTGATATAAATGAACAATTATTTCATATTATTATTTGAATATTTTTCAAAAAACAAACAAACATTATTGTTAAGAAAGGAAATGAACAACCTAATATTTTTCCAGGTAAAGTAGGTCTCTGGTCCTTGGGAAAAGTTTTTGAAAGCATCAGATCAGTGGCAATGGCAACAGGATTCATGTATTACCTTGATTTACTACACAAACCTAATCGTACTTTGTTTGTTGGTGGCCATGTTTTAACATTGAATAAAGATTTCCATAATATTAGGTATTCTAACATGTTTGGACGTAAGAATTTCTTGAAAGCAGATATATACATTTCTGATGTTGGAAAGTCTTCGTACACTGTGGCAACTGACTTGTATGATTTTCAATCAGGAGTGAAGTTATGTTCATGCAAAACCATTCAAGTGTTTGTCGATAAACAATTAAGAAAGCCAGTACCTTTGCCTGAAGAAATATTTGTGGGTTTAGATAATCATCTGAAGTCGGTTAAAAGGCAAACCATTAAACGTGAGAAGATGCCATCTATTCCATCTGAAGCATTTCAGTATGAAATAAAAGCACTTCATAGTGATAGTGATTTCAATCATCATGTCAATCAAGCAATGTACATAAAGTGGTGTTCGGATGCCGGTTCACTAGGAGCACATAAAGGACATTTTTCATACTTCAAGAGGCACATTGAACTTTATCCGTTAAAGTCTGCGGAATACCAATTTATAGGAGAAACATTAGTGAATGATATTGTGACAGTAAATGTTTGGGAAGATGTCACTGTTAAAGATAAGGTTTTACGATTTGCAGTCACCAGAAGTGGCAGAATAGTATTTGTCCTTAAATTAGAATTTTATGACGGAAAGCCAGTAGAAGTGTTGCCACACCTTGAATCGAAGCTTTAAGATTTTGTAAAACTCTAGTAAACTTGATCAGTGGTTTTACTTATTTGTGGATATGTAGATGCGTACATGTGTGTGTGTATTTAGTCTTTTGTTGGAATTAGAAGTTTCGCTTGAAAATTTGATAACTATTTTAAAATACAAGTTGAACACAATTGTTCGGTCAATGAAATGAAAGTCTTTCTATATATTTTGTTTGAGGGTATGTACAAGAATCTTTTATTGTTCCTTCTTTTTATGAAGCCGACAGTATATCAAAACTTTTCCCAAAGACCAAAGAGGACATTTTATCATGGAAGGTTGTTCTGATCTTTTGATTTTTTAAGACAATAGATGAACAAATCTTGTTGTTTTTTGACAAATGCTATAGTTACTTTTTTCGTGTGAGTGAACGCTTTCATTTCCTTTTTACAGGTAAAGTTTCCCTATGGTCTTTGGGAAAAGTACTTGAGGCGGCAAGGTGGCAAGGGATGATTCATGGATTTATTTACTACCCTGAAACGCGTGTTGAAAATGCCTTCTTTGTCGCTAGTCAGTCCATCAAATTTAGTAAAAAATTTAATGATATCCGTTACAAAAGCCACTATGGTGAAAATCGGCCTCTCAGGGCTAAAGTTTACGTGAGTAATGTTGGAAAAACATCATTTACCATAGCATTAGACTTATTTGATGACAAATCAGGAGTTAAACTGGCGCAAAATCTGTTAGTTGGTGTGAATGTTAGTAGAAATAAAAGGAAACCAGCTCCAATACCAAAATATTTCTATAACAATCTGGACCAATATTTGAAGAATGTAGAAAATAGAACCATTGAAAGATCTGTTCTTCCAACCATTCCTAGTAAGGCTTTCCGTTATGAAATCAAGTGTGTTCATAGCGATTGTGACATGAATAAACACATCACTCAAGCTGCATATCTAAAATATTGTTCTGACGCGGCATCAGTCGGCTCTCTGACAGGACATTTCGACCAGTTTCGCAGGCACATTGAGCTTTATCCGTTAAAGTCAACAGTGTTTCATTATATAGGAGAGGCTTTAGTTAACGATACTATAGCTGTCAAGGTCTGGGAAAAAGAAGGATGTTTCAGGACATTAGATTTTGCGATAACAAGGAAAGAAAAGATAATCTTCATTATGAAGATGGAATTTTATGATGGCAAACCAGCTGTTGTCTCTCCACATCTTGTGTCCAAGTTATGAAAAAATAATTTCATGAAGAGAGATATCTTTAAGATTATTTCCCAGGGACCAGAATGATATACATGTACCTTTTTATGACAATTTAAGAATACTTTTAAGACTTATTTTTAGTTTATTGAAGTAGCAGACCTGGCCTGGTTTTACTTTCAAACAGACAAGCTATTCTAATTTTATTTTTATTTAATGTGTATATAAATGTATAGATTTACTGGTATGTTAAACTATTAAAATAAAAAGGAAAAAAAGAATTTTTTTTTTTCACACCTTAGTTTTATTTTTAGTGCCGAGTAGGATAAGGCATCTTTCTTAAATCATCACCTTAGTTAAGTCTTAGTTAAGTCTTTCGATATTCAATAGAAGTTAACCAGAGTTATTGCACTAAGGTGATGAAATTGCAGTTACTGTTTTCTTTATCTTTAGAAGTCTTATAATCTATATAGGTAACAAAGTTTTACTATTCAGCAAAACTGGTTTTACTTTTCAACAGGTAAGATACATTTTCCGGCTTTGGCGAAGATATGCGAAAGTGTCCGCTTTGTTACCTTCAGTAAGGACTTCACCTATTTTGCCAGGAGACATCGTAACACTGGTGCTGTACTGTTCGTTGTAAGTCAGATGTTTAGTTTCACCCATGCAGCACACAACTTGCGGGGGAAAAATCATTACGGCATCAATAAGCCTCAACGATTTTTGTGCTATCTCTCTCACGCTGGGAAGACGTCATACACAACAAATATGGACTGGTTCGACTCGGACAATTGTAAGATTGGAAGTTTTATGACCAAACATGTTGCAGCAGACGTGAATACGAGAAGACCTGTGCCCCTTCCAGACTATTTCTTCAAAGATATTGAGTCTCATTTCAGTCATATCAAGCCTCAAACAATGGATAAGGCGGATATACCCATAATTCCTAGCAACGCATATCAGCTTAATATCAGAGTGCTATATAGTGACTGTGATGATAATTATCATGTTAATCAAGCGACCTACTTAAAATGGTGCTCTGATGCGGCCTCAGAAGGTGCTGAAAATGGATATTTTTCATACTTCAAAAACTTTATTGAACTGTATCCAGTGAAGGATATGAAGATATATTACAGTGGAGAAGGGCTTGTGAAGGATGAATTAGTGGTTCATGTGTGGGAGTGTAAAAAAGACGCAAGTTGTCTGGAATTTGCCATTCTAAAACAAGAAAATGTTATTTTTCATATGGGAATGACATTTTACGATTCCAAGATTGATAAAGCCACAACAAAAACTGTTCCTAAACTGTGATCACGTCGACTTGTAACTTTCGATAATTTTATACATGTACAGTATTATGTGTAAATCATACTACGCTGAAAATCTTAGACTTGCCCATCATTCTATCTGGACAAAACCATTTACAATTTGCAGGGAAAAATTTAAAACATTTTTTGACTGAACAGCAAACATTGCAGACTATGATCAGATGGCAAAAATGTGCTGGCTGATCTTGGTCTGCACTGGTCGCATGGGTAGAATCTGTTGCCTCTAGCAGGCCAACAGTTTACTAAACCTATGAATAAATTAGGTCAACTATGTGTTATGGAAGAATATTGTATGAAATTTATATCAACAGCTTGGTGTGAAAGGGTTGTAACTCCATCTTTATTGTGCCCCCACATTAGTGGCGGGCATTTAGATTTACCCTTGTCCGTCTGTCTGTCCGTCCGTCCATCCGCACTCACAGGAGAGTTATTATGTGGCTAGAGGGACAATAGGTAACTGTTCTTTCTCTTTGATGTCATTCATTCCGTAATGCTTTTATGTGGCTATTTTCTTTTGTGTGGCTAAAAAGAACAATAGAGAGAACAATAGAGTAGCCACATAATTACTGTCCTGTGCGTCCGTCCGTCCTTCCGTCCGTCCGTCCGTTCTCTTTTGTGTCGCACGTAACTCAAAAAGTATTTGACCTAGTCATGAAACTTTACAGGAATGTTGATCAGCATGTGAAGTTGTGCACCTGGGTATTTTCGTCTGGATATTTTTAGTATTTTTAGAGTTATTGCCCTTGACTTAGTAAAATTTTGCAATTTTCAACTTGTGTCGCATGTAACTCAAAAAGTATTTGACCTAGAGTCATGAAACTTTACAGGAATGTTGATCAGCATGTGTAGTTGTGCACCTGGGTATTTTCGTCTGGATATTTTTAGTATTTTTAGAGTTATTGCCCTTGACTTAGTAAAATTTTGCAATTTTCAACTTGTGTCGCATGTAACTCAAAAAGTATTTGACCTAGAGTCATGAAACTTTACAGAAATGTTGATCAGCATGTGTAGTTGTGCACCTGGGTATTTTCGTCTGGATATTTTTAGTATTTTTAGAG